CCATTGGTGCCAGCTATCCTGAGGGAAACTTCGGAAGAAACCAGCTACTAGACGGTTCGATTAGTCTTTCGCCCCTAAACCCGGATCTGACGATCGATTTGCACGTCAGAATCGCTACAGACCTCCACCAGAGTTTCCTCTGGCTTCATCTTGTCCGGGCTTAGTTCACCATCTTTCGGGTACTAACATATATACTAGTGCTCCGCGAAAATCTCGGTAAAGTGGATATATCACGGGCTGATATTGCGGTATACTCTTACAAGCATACATCATATCAATTTCTTTCAATTCGCCTTTCAAGCCTAAACAAGACTGATCAGCTTGCATACATGTTAGACTCCTTGGTCCGTGTTTCAAGACGGGTCGGATAGAGTACCGATCTACTGACCACAGAATCACTAGGTTAACGTAAGCTTGCCACTTTTACCAACAAACCACCAAAAGCCAGCCAATCCATGAGTTGTTTCAACACCAGGTGAAGAAACAGACATCATCAACGAAAGACTAGTCGGATTCGTCAGAGCAGATGACAAGCATTGTTGACCCTGCATAAGCAGAGATTCATCTCCATGTGACTGTGGTAACAGTTGCCAACACTAGCTCACAGGCTAAGTCTAATAACGCAAGGAATATTAGTAGCTGTGAAAACTAAATGCTGATTAGGTGTGTGTTTAGTACACCTTGCTGTTATCACTTGAACAAGAGTTTTGCACTCTCCTTCACATTGGTCGTGGTTTGAGCACGAGAGTTGAGAAAATGCACTCCTCATGCACATATTGCACTCCTCCTATCAATACCAAGATCCAAGGGCAGGCTAAAAGTTACCCCTTAACCTACTGATCTTGGAACGCTGTAAAGCATTCTTAGCACTGAATAGAAAAAGGCAACAATACACAAGAGAAGCTGAGTTCTCCTCTCAGCTACACTTCGTGGTTCTATCCGTTTCTCTACAAGCGGTTTCACGTCCTTTTGAACTCTCTCTTCAAAGTACTTTGCAACTTTCCCTCACGGTACTTGTTTGCTATCGATATTACCATCGTATTTAGTCTTAGGAGGAGTTTACCTCCTAATTTGGATTGCACTCTCAAGCAATCTGACTCTATCCGCGACTAAAGCCAGTAATCGATATTCCATTAACCAAGATCTGCCACCGGCCTAGAACCGTCTCTGGGAAGAGGGCCCTTGTCAGAGGGACTTGCAGATTTAGTTGAAATAATCGTGACTCTAGCCATTACGCAGCACCGCTTTCCACCTTTCAATGGAAAACCTTTGCGCCGGACTCATCCCTTTTCACTCGCCGTTACTCAGGGAATCTCATTTGATTTCTTTTCCTCCGCTGAATTATATGCTTAAATTCGGCGGGTAACCTCACCTGATCTGAGATCAAAAATATTGATTAAGTTGATTAATGTTTATTTGTGTTGTTTGCAAGCAAGCAACGTAAATCTACTTTAATGTTTGCACAAATTTTGCCTTTGCATTACTTCTTAGGTCTGCTTTAACAGAATGAAATAGATACTATTTGTACGATTTATACAAGTGCAAGAAGATTCATCAGTTAACAGGTTAGTTGATCACCATAGTTATCTGCAATACGACTTTAGCGTCGTCAGATAGGCGACTAACCTTAGAATCTCATGCTAGTATCTATTCATATATACTGCTTGCAGAGATGAAATATGCATTGTACACAAAATTTATCATGTGAAACAAGTAGATTTGAGATTCTCCTTACTAAATTGCAACGAATTGCAATAAGAAAAGGAATAAAACATCAAGATTCATGCATATAAATATACAATCCTCTCAAAACAATGCATATATGGTAGTATGCAAGTGTTTTGTTGATTATTTTACATCTCAACTCTCAGACAGATGTGACCTCGGAAAAGACCCGAAAGCCGCAATGTGCGTTGGAAGCTCAAGTGCTCGGCGTGTCCTGCAATTCGCACCGATTATCGTAGCTAGCTACGTTCTTCATCGATTGGTAATTCGAGTGATCCACCGCTTGAAGATGTATCTTTGCCACCGTGGGACTTTTAATAAGTATCCTAAATCTGCATTGAGAGGGTTTGAAAACAATTGTATGCAGTTTATAAAAACCATAGTTGTCTTTACTTAGTTAGGCGAAGAAGTGTAAAACTTCCTTCTTTAAACCTTGCCGTCAGCATAAGCTGAAGACTTGAACAGGTACCAAGTATGTAGCAAGACAGGCTTTTCATTATAAACTACAATTGTTTTGCAAAAGAAATTATGGCTATCGTTAGATAACCCTCACTCTTTGTTGCATTGGATAATGAAAGATGGATGTATGAATGAACGAATGTAATGCAAATTAGAATCATGTTGCAATGGCTAAATGTTTGCAATAAACATTCACAATTGCGACTCTATGCAAATACAATTCAATTGCATTCACCATATTAGCATCTACATATCACTATGCAGAGTGTTTGATTGTTTGAGGTTGTATTTCTCTTATAATAAGAGGGTAATACGTTAATGATCCTTCCGCAGTTCACCTACGGAAACCTTGTTACGACTTTTACTTCCTCTAAATGATCAAGTTTGAACATCTTTCCAGCACAATCCGACCACTAGTTTCCCAATGGTCTGGATTGACCAGTCCGAAGTCCTCACTAAATCATTCAATCGGTAGTAGCGACGGGCGGTGTGTACAAAGGGCAGGGACGTAATCAACGCAAGCTAATGACTCACGCTTACTGGGAATTCCTCGTTCATGGGCAATAATTACAATGCCCAATCCCCATCACGAAATGGGTTCAAGCGGTTACCCACTCCTTTCGGAGCAGGAAACAGTATGCACGATGACCACTTCAGTGTAGCACGCGTGCGGCCCCGGACATCTAAGGGCATCACAGACCTGTTATTGCTCTGTTTCGTGCGGCTGCGAGCGCCGCTTGTCCCTCTAAGAAGTCCTTACAGTGCTACAGCATCCTTACCCTAGCCAATTCTGTAGGCTAATAGCAGCAGAGCCCTCAACAGCCGAAACCATCAAGAGATACTACCACCCACAGGTTGACTAAGGGGGAGTACTGCAGTGTAAACTGCAAGTCTATTTAGTAGGCTAGAGTCTCGTTCGTTATCGGAATTAACCAGACAAATCACTCCACCAACTAAGACGGCCATGCACCACCACCCACTGAATCAAGAAAGAGCTCTCAATCTGTCAATCCTCTCAGTGTCCGGGCCGGGTGAGTTTTCCCGTGTTGAGTCAAATTAAGCCGCAGCTCCACTCCTGGTGGTGCCCTTCCGTCAATTCCTTTAAGTTTCAGCTTTGCAACCATACTTCCCCCGGAACCCAAAAACTTTGGTTTCCCGGAAGCTTCCATTCGAGTCATGAAATTAGTTACTCAGAATGATCGCTGGTGGCATCGTTTATGGTTAGAACTAGGGCGGTATCTGATCGCCTTCGAACCTCTAACTTTCGTTCTTGATTAATGAAAACATTCTTGGCAAATGCTTTCGCTGTAGTTTGTCTTGCGACGGTCCAAGAATTTCACCTCTAGCGCCGCAATACAAATGCCCCCGTCTGTCCCTCTTAATCATTACCTTGGATTCTTAAGACCAACAAAATAGAACCAAGGTCCTATTCCATTATTCCATGCAAGATCATTCAAGATAACTCATACACAAGATAACTCACTTTTAATCGATATTTTATTAATAAAATTGACCATTAAACGCCTGCTTTGAGCACTCTGATTTTTTCAAGGTAAAAGTCTCGATCGCTTGAATCAACACTCGGTAAAGAGCATTGATAGCAAATATCGAGCAATTTTCTGTCTAAACACTATGAATGTAACCACCAGGAAAGAGGAATGAAGGTTCAAGCTAGCATCCGTAGACACAAGCAAGAAACCTAACATCACCATCTAACCCTTTAATCAGTGGACCCCATAGGTTCGACTGAAATCCAACTACGAGCTTTTTAACCGCAGCAACTTTAATATACGCTATTGGAGCTGGAATTACCGCGGCTGCTGGCACCAGACTTGCCCTCCAATAGATCCTCGTTAAAGGATTTAAATTGTACTCATTCCAATTACGGGGCCTCAATAGAGTCCCGTATTGTTATTTTTCGTCACTACATCCCCGTACTGGGATTGTGTAATTTGCGCGCTGCTGCCTTCTTAGATGTGGTAGCCGTTTCTCAGGCTCCCTCTCCGGAATCGAACCCTAATTCCCCGTTACCCGTTACAACCATGGTAGGCGCATAACCTACCATCGACAGTTGATAAGGCAGTTGCTTGAGGGATACATCGTCGGCTCAGAGGCCATACGATTTGCTCAGTTATTCAGAGTCATCACAAGAAATGCAACCGAAGTTGCTAAGATCCCCACTGCTAGTCCTTAGACAGCGACCGAAATCACTGAACAGGGTTCTAGGTGAATAAGAATCATTGGTCTTGTACTAATAAATGCGATCCTTCCGTCAGCAAGCTGAGGTTGGAACACTTGTTCATGTATTAGCTCTAGAATTACCACAGTTATCCATGTAAAAAAGAATATCCGAGGAACCGTAACTGATTTAATGAGCCATTCGCGGTTTCACTTTATAAACAGTATGTACTTAGACATGCATGGCTTAATCTTTGAGACAAGCATATGACTACTGGCAGGATCAACCAGGTAACTTGATGTTTTAGCAAAGTAAAATGCTAAACAAGTTGTTTGCAGCTATAAATACGATATCCTCAGATAACAACCAGCAAGTGGATGCTAACTTTAATGAGGTATCGAGATTTATGTCGTGCATTAAGATGATTCCGCAGAAATCTCTTTAGAATCCATCTTCTTCCACTAGAATATGCAAGCATATCTAGCAGGAGTAACCATTGCTGGGTACGTTTGCAAGTCAACTAAACAGCATAGTATTATAACCGCTTGATACCAATTTCTTGGATCAATTTGCGGTCTGCTTTGCACAAGCAGAGCTCAATACTAATACTGCTCACTCTGTTGAGTGACTAGTTTGA